TGCCTTGAGGGTAAATGGACAAGTAACCACTAGGTCAGCAACAAGTGTGAATACTAACAGAAGCATTTGGAGTTAAAACAGGTGTGTCTTTTTGCCGCCTCTCCTATTTTTAATGGCAATAGATTGGATTATGAAGACAACCATTGCTAACACCAAGAATGGAATTCAGTGGACCCTTACAAAACAGCTTGATGACCTGGACTTTGCTGGTGATATTTGTCTTCTGTCCCACTCATGGAATCAGATGCAAAATAAATAAAATGTACTTGATGCGAGACCACAATAGCTTGGTCTGAAAATCCATAAGGGAAAGACAAAGATAATGAGAATAAATCAGGCAAATAATAATGTGGTTTTTCTTAATGGCACCCCACTCCAAGACGTGGAGTCGTATACCTATTTGGGCGGTAATGTAGATAAAGATTAGGGAACTGATAGAGATATTAAAATATAAATACAGAGGGCAAGAGGAGCTTTCCTTTCACATTTGTGAAGGTCAACAGAAATAAAAACTAATATTAAATAAAAATATTTAAATTCTAAAGTCAAGTTGCCATCAAGATCAAGTCAGTGCTGTTGTATGGAGCAGAAACATGTAGAACAACTAAGGATAATACTAATAAACTGCAAACATTCCCTGACTGGTGCCTCTGCAGAAAAGAGAGATTTAAATGGTGTGATAGAATCGCTAATCTAGAGCTTTGGGGGAGAACTAAACAAGTTCCAGTAGACCTAGAGGGGATGAAAAGACGCACGCTGGCGTTGGATAGGACACACATTGAGAAAACCTGAGAACAATATAATTTAAATGTCTTTACACCGGAACCCACAGCGGCATAGAAATAAAGGAAGGCAAAAAATGATGGGGAGAGTTGCATGTGATAGCGAAGGATAGAAAGACTTAGCATGAGTTAGTTGAGGGCCTGTGCTCCTTTGGGGGCTATAAAGTTAAAAGAAGAAGACATATATGTTGAAAAATAACTGCAGACTTAAAATAGTCAATGTTGGAGCTTGTGTTTCATTCAGCAGAGCAGCAATACTGTGAATAAGCATATAATTAGTTTCTAGTATTTGTTTATACTCTATAGTTGTATGCAAGAGTACTGTAGCACCACGTTACATCAACCCTCAGCACAGATGCATGACTATCTAGTTAGCTTTGATGTGTCGTATCGACTAAGTCTCCCAAGATAATTCTTTGTTTGCTTAAATTTATTTTTCACAATATTATTGTCTGATCATAACATCAGTAATAACTAATTATATGCACTGTGAGAAAATCTGTTGATGTAGCAGTCAAGAAGTGTTAATATATTTTGGTATGGTCATAGATTTTTTAAATATATATATATATATATATATATATATATATATATATATATATATATATATATATATATATATATATATATATATATATATATATATATATATATATATATATATATATATATATATATATATATATATATATATATATATATATATATATTTGTTAAACTTTTACTTTTTCTTCAACACTTCCTCTGTTACCACTTCTGGTGTTGAGGGTGAAATTGTAGTTTCTGCTTCTTTTGGCCACACAGGCACATCATGCTGTTGTATAGTTTTGCTGATGCTGTCCTTCCATATTGCTGTTGGTAAAACTCATGATCTATGTCCTTCAACTCTTTTAGTGTATGTCTTGTATGGTATGGCATCATAAGACATTCTAAGTTGTCAAATAATCTGATTGCTGTCTTTATATGTAATTTAGAATTGGTTCTATACAGACTTTTCTCTTATGAACTCATTTCTCTTTTGGTCACTCCTGCAACCTTTCTCAGACATCTAATTTCCATTATTACTAATTTCCTTTTCTGGTTTGTTGGGAATGACCATGTCTGGCATTAATAGCAAAGGTCAGAAATGTATATGTCTTGTATGAGATGTGCTGTGAGAGGGGTGCTTGCTGTCTCAGTATGTGGACTGCTTTACAACATCGGATGTTAATTTCTTTATCCAGTTTCCCATCTTCAGTGAATTTTATTCTTGACATTTTCCAGATATTTAAGCACAGATTCTTTTTTACTGCCTTTGCACTATTTTGCTATATCTAAATTCTGCTTCTTTCTTCCTATTCACATTAGTTTTGTCTTTTCAATGTTGATTTTCATATTATGTGTTTAAAATTCTTCATTCATTGATGTGAGATGTTGCTGCCATTTTATGGCTGTCTCTGCTATCAAGGCCTGGTTATAATCTAAGAGTAAATCATTGATATTACTGATATGTCTGTTCCTGAGCTTGGCATCCTTGCATGTACTGTCGATGTAGGTGATAAACAGCAGTGGTGATAAGACACACCCCAACCTTACTTAAGCTGTGACTGTGAATGGTTTAGATGTTCCCTGATTTATTCTATCAAAGCTTCAACAATGTCTATATAAACTTTTGTAAACTAAACCAAATCAAGCCATTACTTTCATAATAAGTGTTTATCGACTCTGTTGATGACTTCTCTGGGTCTATGAATGCCAATATAAGTTCTTATCATATTTGATTTTTTGCCCCCATTAACTGTTCAAGTCTGGAGACTGTGCAGCTTCTATTTCTTATAAATACCATCTGTTCTTCCCCCAACCTTGGTATCATTGGTCTCACTCTCGTTTCTATTATTTTGGCATATATTTTGCTAACCAGACTTAAAAGAGAGATGTCTCAGTATTGACTGCATTCTCTCTTGCTTCCTTACTTTTTGTTTTTATTTAATTTAAAAATTAATGCATACAGACGTTGAATATTGAATTAAGAATCAATATCACAGCACTCAGGAAACCCCCATAAGCGCTCCATCCCCATCTTCAGCAGTAAGCGAAGAGTTTTAGTTCCCATGGTAACAGTAACTGTCTGATTGTTTATTCTTCTTGCCCTTTCCCTAAGTGTTTTCTCTGCAGCGCCATTCTCCTCCGACCTAATGATCTATCTGTGCCTCTGCACTATTCACTCGCTTTCAAAAGGCCCTCACAACTTCTAGGTTGGCACACATCAATTCACCACAAAAAAGTGCAGAAGTGGCCTTTCTGTCTAAGTGCTCATTTCCCAACACACCAGCACAACCTGGAGAAAATATCCAAAGGACGCTAACAACCCGGGACCTCTGAAGTGATGCTTGCCACTCTGCACTGAGCATGTCTGTTTCCACCTTTCTCAACATGCTCTGTGTGTCAGTTGAAACCATGGCATGTGTGTACAGCTGATTTTCAAGCCAACGGAAGGCAGCCGAGACTGACTCCACCACTGTTCTAAAACTAGACATTGTGATATTATATGCTAGACACTGGGAAGGCAAACCCGGTCAACAAATGCCCGCAGAAGTCGGATGTGTCGGCCGAAAGGTGCAAATATCGCAGCCATGCTGTAAACGGACGCAACTCAATTACATCTTCGGATGAACACAGAAGAAAAAGAAGAAGAATATGCTAGACTTTGTTGCACTTAACGACATCCATTCACCTATGCTATAAATTCCCATGCACTTTGTCTGCCCCACAACACAGAGCCATCTGTAAAGACAATCACATCACCCAGTCAAGAGTTGCCATGAATTATTTGTTGAACCTCTGATTCTGCAACACAAGCTGGCCAGTCCCTGCACCCATGACATAAAGTGATTAGAACCCTACACAAGTCTGAAACTTGCTCTGACATTTTGACCCACTCCTCTCCTGGCCCAAACTTATCAAGCCTGCTCCAGTGTCTAACTGTGTCTTCAGCTTGCGTCATCCAAGACCTTCCTCTTTTCAGTCTGTCCCCCCTCAGCTCTATCCAGGGCTTCTTGCACCTAAAAAAATTCTTTTTGTTAACGTAACTGAACTGGATAGAGTTGAACATCATGTCTTTGAAAATGAAATACTTTGGCTATTTTAAACCTACAGGGGTGCTGTGAGTGAAGCATGTGATCTGCTACATGATGATAGTAGCTGATGTATGTGAGACAAAAAGCCATGGATAAACAAACAATAAAAAAGACAGTCTTTCTTCTTCTTTTCCTCAAGTTCTATTCTGCCTTTCAGCACCAAACTTTGAAGAGGCATCTGGTGTGAGCCTTGGTATGGGCTATGTAGATGCTGGTATTTATGGCCTCGGAGATTCCATCCATCCATTGCTTGCCTAGTTGACTTCTAGATCTGCTTCCATTTTGTAGAAGTGACAGGGCTCTTTGTAGTGCACTGTCTGGTGATAGGCTTGGCACATGTCAAAACCATTTCACTTATTGTCACTTGATGTAGTTAGTACAGTTTTTCAATATAAATACAAATACAAGTGGGTTATTGAAAGGCTTGGTTGATGTTGTGAGAGAAGACTTAAAAAACAGTGCATAAAATGATGTAATTATCAGAACAGAAAAAAAGCAAAGAGATAAATAGCTGAATATTTTATCAAATAGCATAACTGAGAAAATATGTTGCCCGATCTGAGACTAGGGATATGTAACATTGAGAACACATAGAGTATATAGCATGTGATGATTTGGCCAGTATCACTCCAGATGCCTTCCTGCTCAGAATATACCATGGCAACTATTTTCAGCTGGGTTGTACTTTGTTTTAGAGTCTAAAATAAAATCACAGGTAAATTTATTACGTAATTAATTTGAACATTTAATCATCAGACTATTGTGCTACCATGACTTGCTAGAACCTGCTGACGTCTCAAAAGCCTGGCTGCTGATGGTTAGATAAAGTCATTTCTCTAGAATGAAAGCTACAAAGCAGTCCTGCAGAGGATGCAACACATGACTTGTGTTATACAGGTGTCAGTAAATGTATGTTTAACTTTTGATGTAAACTTGACTACAATGTACATATTTTATAATAGGGTTTTTTTCTGAACAGATTTGCAAATCGAATAACACCATTATGTATTGCATACATGTTGTCTATATTTCTTTATTTGAGCATTTGTAAACTTCTGTAATTAATGTGTCCTAATGACATTATATTTAATTTACTGCACAGGTCACTTGTCACAGGAAGGCTTTCTCAAGTATTTGATGAGTGAGGACAACAATATAATTCCTCCAGACAAACTTGACATCAGCGAAGACATGGATCAACCATTGGCTCATTATTTCATCAATTCCTCTCACAATACTTACCTGACAGGTATAATTGATCACAATACTTACATGACAGACAGGTGTGTCTTATCACAGTACTTTACTGACATACATGTTTTGTTATTGTTGAAATACTTACATGACAGTTATGCTTTATCACAATACTTAACTGAAAGACAGGTGTGTCTCATCACAATCCTTCACTGACACAAATGTTTTGTTGTTGTTGCAATCCTTACCTGACAGACAGGTGTGTCTCATCACAATAATCAGCTGACATGTATACATTTTGTTGCAACACGTATCTGACAGATATCTCTCCTTTTTTTTTTTAATACTCATCTGAGAGACAGGTGTGTCTCATCTGATCTGAAAGGCATATTGTTTTTAAAAATTAGAATGCTTACTTGATAGGTATTTTTTGGGGTTACAATACTTACCTGATAGATAGATGTGTTTGATCACAATACTCATTTGACAGGAAGGTGTTTTTTTTTTGGTGTTGTCAGGACTTACCTGACAGTTGTGTTTTATCACAGTACTTGTCAGGTTTTTATCCCGGCGAACGCCTCACTAGTCACCAACCCATCGTGGATATACACTAATGTAGTGAGTGTGTGGGTTTGAATCCTAACACTGCACACCCATGTGAGAAACTGGACTAATATCCGAGCTATGTTGATCCCAGACACAGTCCCAGATAACCAAGAAAACAGCAAAAAGTGGCTCGTAGAATGAAATTAAGGTAGCCGTACTAGTATCCATGGGAGTAGGAAAAGGGTAGCTAGATATCAAGGGTAATTCAAGGTAAGAATATCAAGATACACAGTTAACTCTTCTGATTTTCTCCTCTCCTGGTATTAATGTATAATAAATGCTCCCACAAAGTGTGATAATGATTAAAACTAAAGTGTTAAATTACACAAATTACGAACATAGCCACTGGGAACTATGAATAATAGTTAACAAACTATGAGGTCACAAGCTTGACAGCTTTTGCTGTTTGTTTTGATTGGGTCTGTGTAGTGTCGTGCTTTTGACCTGCCTCCTTTCATTGTTACATGGCTTAATGTTGTAGAGTCATAAATAGGCTTCATTTAGTTGGGATTTATATTCACTTTTAGCATTGTTTGAATCCATGTCTAGTTTTAGGTCTTTTTTCAATTCTGCATTGTCATAGTCTGTTACCAAATGGACTTTCTGTGCGGGTGCATCAATTCATTCTGTCCTCAATGTAGTTCTTGTACGTCGGCCTCAATGATCTCGTAATCACTTCTCATTTCTGTGCTTTATTTTCTGTTTTCTTGCAAATCTTCATTTTTGTGTGTGTGGGGGGGGGGGGGGGGGGTAAAGGGGGCGGGAACGTATTTATGGTTTCACTGCTTTGATTAGCTGTCTTTGCTGGCTTTGTGGACTGTACCTTGTGTTTTTGGGATATTGTTTCTGTTTCTGTGTCTTTGTCAGTCCTGCTTGGGCTTGGTTTGTTTTCAGTTTTTCAGCTTCCATTTCTTTCTTGTTGAAGGAATTCACATTCTTTCTTTGCTTCTGTCTTTGAAGCTTCTGCCTCAGCTTCAGCTTGCACTAGTAGGGTAATTTCCTTTTTGAGCTGACAGGTGAGGTCTTTCATCTGCACCATTCCCTGCTCTCTTCTGGCATCTGCTACTTTGTCTTTAGTTGCTCTCAGGGACTGGAGCGATTTGACTTCTTTCCTCAGTTCAATTACTTGGAAGAGGAGTTCTGATCTTTCTGTGTCTGAGCTGCCCTCCCTTAGTTATGAGGTTATCTTTAGCGGTCTGGAAATTTTTATTATCATTCTTCATCTGGGTGATTTGGTGCCTTAGCTGGGATGTTTCCTAAGAGTTGCTGGCACCTGGTCTGAGGTTGTCAGCTAGCACCTCATTCTGACAGGTGTCAACCCTAGCCCTCAGACTAACATTCAAGTAGGGTAATCTCAGGAGAAGATAATTACTGTTATCCCGAGTTACCTGTTCCTAAGGGTCTGCCCTCTGATAATTTTATGACACCCCAAGCTAGGTGGTCTGTACTTTCCACTTCACTGGTGCCACTAAGTTGATCTGTTTAGTGTTATCTGGATCCCTGACACCTTATCTCTGGGCAAGTCTGAGTGTTTGATATCAAGTGCAGTCCAGAGGGGAATTAAATAGCTTTATTCTGCTGGATGGCCTTGATTTAGGTTAAATCCAGGAGCATATTCTCCTCTATACTTAAGATATATAGACAACAGTTAAGTGGAAGGAAAAACCCATTCTGAAATCACAAGTCATGTTGTCACAGTACTTAAAGGAGCCTTTTCCACGTTGTCAGGTGTATCAGGCATATAGGGCTAGATCTATATGTTATAGACCAATCAGCACTCTGTAGGTGATGTAGTTAACAACAATCGGGCTGCCTTTATCTCCCAGGACTTTACCTGGTACCCATTTGAAGCTGGGTCGACCTGGAAGCCAAGGTCATTTTGGGAAAAAGTCTGGCTCTGTCAGTACCTGAACCCACAACCTTAAGATCTGTAGGTGAGTGTCTAGCCCCTACACCACACTGGTTCCTCATAGTACTTACCTGACAGGTATTTTTGTTAGATTACTTACCTGACAGTATGTCGATCTTTTGTTTACACTACTTTCCTGACAGGTATATTTCATCATAATACTTTTTTGACAGGTATATTTGTTAGAATACTTACCTGACAGTATGTCGATCTTTTGTTTACACTACTTTCCTGACAGGTATATTTCATCACAATACTTTCCTGACAGGTATTTTTGTTATGATACTTACCTCACAGTATGTCGATCTTTTGTTTACACTACTTTCCTGACAGGTATTTTTGTAAAAATACTTACCTGACAGGTATTTTTGTTAGAATACTTACCTGACAGGTATTTTTGTTAGAATACTTACCTGACAGGTATTTTTGTTAGAATACTTACCTGACAGGTATTTTTGTTAGAATACTTACCTGACAGGTATTTTTGTTAGAATACTTACCTGACAGGTATTTTTGTTAGAATACTTGCCTGACAGGTATTTTTGTTAGAATACTTACCTGACAGGTATTTTTGTTAGAATACTTACCTGACTGGTATTTTTATTAGAATACTTACCTGACAGGTATTTTTGTTAGAATACTTACGTGACAGGTATTTTTGTTAGAATACTTACCTGACAGGTATTTTTGTTAGAATACTTACCTGACAGGTATTTTTGTTAGAATACTTACCTGACAGGTATTTTTGTTAGAATACTTACCTGAAATTTATTTTGTTAGAATACTTACCTGACAGGTATTTTTGTTAGAATACTTACCTGACAGGTATTTTTGTTTGAATACTTACCTGACAGGTATTTTTGTTTGAATACTTACCTGACAGGTATTTTTGTTAGAATACTTACATGACAGGTATTTTTGTTAGAATTCTTACCTGACAGGTATTTTTGTTAGAATACTTACCTGACAGGTATTTTTGTTAGAATACTTACGTAACAGGTATTTTTTTTAGAATGTTTACCTGACAGGTATTTTTGTTAGAATACTTACCTGACAGGTATTTTTGTTAGAATACTTACCTGACAGGTATTTTTGTTAGAATACTTACCTGACAGGTATTTTTGTTAGAATACTTACCTGACAGGTATTTTTGTAAGAATACTTACCTCACAGTATGTCGATCTTTTGTTTACACTACTTTCCTGACAGGTATATTTCATCACAATACTTTCCTGACAGGTATTTTTGTTAGAATACTTACCTGACAGTATGTCAATCTTTTGTTTACACTACTTTCCTGACAGGTATATTTCATCACAATACTTTCCTGACAGGTATTTTTGTTAGAATACTTACCTGACAGTATGTCGATCTTTTGTTTACACTACTTTCCTGACAGGTATTTTTGTAAGAATACTTACCTGACAGGTATTTTTGTTAGAATACTTACCTGACAGGTATTTTTGTAAGAATACTTACCTGACAGGTATTTTTGTTAGAATACTTACCTGACAGGTATTTTTGTTAGAATACTTACCTGACAGGTATTTTTGTTAGAATACTTACCTGACAGGTATTTTTGTTAGAATACTTACCTGACAGTTAGTTTTGTTAGAATACTTACCTGACAGGTATTTTGTTAGAATACTTACCTGACAGGTATTTTTGTTAGAATACTTACCTGACAGGTATTTTTGTTAGAATACTTACCTGACAGGTATTTTTATTAGAATACTTACCTCACAGAATGTCGATCTTCTGTTTACACCACTTTCCTGACAGGTATATTTCATCACAATACTTTTCTGACAGGTATTTTTGTTAGAATACTTACCTGACAGTATGTCTATTTTTTGTTTACACTACTTTCCTGACAGGTATATTTCATCACAATACTTACCTGACAGACAGGTAGATTTCATCACAATACTTACCAGACAGGTATATGTTTCATCACAATATTTACCTGACAGGCAGATATATGTTTCATCACAATTTTACCAGACAGACAGGTATATGTTTCCTCACAATTTTACCAGAATGACAAGTATATGTTTCATCACAATATTTACCTGACAGACAGGTAAATGTTTCATCACAATACTTACCTGACAGAGAGATATATGTTCCGTCACAATACTTACCTGACAGGCAGGTATGTTTCATCACACTGCTTACCTGACAGACGTATTGCTGATCACAATGCTTACCTGACAGACAGGTGTGTTTCACATCAGTGCTTGCCTGACATACAAGCATGTTTCATCACAATACTACTAAGATAGGTATGTTTTATCACAATACTTACATGACAAGACAGGTGTGTTTCATCACAGTACTAACCTGACAAGACAGGTATGTTTCATCACAATGCTGATCTGACATGTAGGATTCATCACAATACTTACCTCACAGACAGGTATGTTTCATTCGAATGCTTACCTGACTGTCTAGATATTTGTATTTCCTCATATTTTTGAAGTTTTTTTCTTTCTTTCTTTCTTTCTTTCTTTTTTTTAAATATAATTTTTAAAAAAACTGATTATAAGGTCTTTTTGATTTACATTTAACTTCTGCCTTTTTCTGTTATTGTACGTCCAAGATGGGATAAACTTGTTATTTTGTCTAACATATTAATATTTACTAATAGTTGCTAATGATCAAACTTTATATATTTTTTAAAAATTGTCTTCTTTCTTTCTTTTGTCAAAATCTGCTTGTGCCGCTAGGCGTCGCAGTCTATCAGATGATCGGCAACCGAGCCAGGGCGCGCTCAGTCGCTTCATATGCCGTGATGTTATGAAGTCTCAAGTCAGTGACTCCTTCAATCCATCTTCTTCTTGGTCTTCCCCTGCCTCTTGTTGTTTAGATTTTCATGTTGTATGCTCTTGATGCTGGCATCGTTGGTTCCATTCTCATTAGGTGACCAAACCATTTCATTCTTTGCTTCTCAATAAATTTAACGATGGGTATGGTTCCAATAGTTCTTGTAATCACATCCTTTCTCACTCGATCTCTTCTGGTTTTATTCGCAGCCATTCTCAAACATCTCATTTCACAGGTGGTTAGTCTTCTCTCGTGTTTTTTGTTAATGTCCAAGTCTGACATTGATAACCTAATGTCGGTATAAAGATTGTATTTATAATTTGTCTTTTTATCTCAGCTGGGACAGCAGGGTGTTTTAAAATTGGGGCAAGCTGGTATGCGACATTGTTGGCTTGTTGGATTCTTGCTTTGATCTCTCTGTCTATTTTACCATTGGATGTAAAGATACTTCCCAAGTATTTAAATTCTTGCACTTGTTTTAGGCTGTGATCTAGAATCTTTATGTCGATGGTCTGTTGCTCTCTACTTATGCTCATGACTTCTGTCTTTTCAGTATTGATTTTCATATGATGCTTGAGGCAACTGTCGTGTAGTAGGTTTATGTGGTCTTGCAGCTGTTTACTATCACTGTGAAATATGCATTGATCGTCGGCAAGGAGCAGCTCATTGAAGTCCTCCTGTTTATCGACATCTGTTGGTGTTATGTCTATTTTATTAATATTGTCCATAAATATTATGAAAAGTAAAGGTGATAATACACAACCTTGTCTTACTCCTGATGTTACTGGGAACCAGTCTGTGATGCCAGCTCTTGTTCTAATGGCGATTTCACTTTGTCTATAAATAGCCCCAACACAATCTAAAATTGTTCCATTTATACCGTAGTTTTCAAGAACTTTCCATAATAAATTTCTGTTTACTCTATCAAAAGCTTTTTCTTGATCTATGAAAGCGATGTTCATTTGATGTCTGTGTTCTATTGTCTTTTCGCTAACCTGTCTTAAAGCAAAAATAGTGTCAGTACACCCTCTTCCTTTTCTAAATCCGATTTTTTTAAAATTGTAATATCTTCAATATCAGAAACACAGAACAAAAGTTACCTAATTCTATCTAATTTTTTTATCAGGTCATCAGCTGACTGGCAAATCTTCTGTAGAAATTTACCACCAGGTTCTTCTGAGCGGTTGTCGTTGTGTAGAACTTGATTGCTGGGATGGTAAAGACTCAGATATGGAGCCAATTATTACACATGGTTACACAATGTGTACAGAAGTCTTATTCAAGGTATGAAGTTTTAACAAAATCCTCAAATTCCCATGTGAAAATGTCCGTAAACTTCTTCAAGCTGTAAGGCCAGATAATGTGTAACAGTATGAACATTTTTCTTTCTATTCATAACATTTGAAGGAGCCATGTTAGCGCAGTCAATAAGAGGCTCACCTTCAAATCCAGCTGCGACTCGCTGCAGCAACAGTCGATGTTTGAAACCAGGCGGTTCCCGGGGTTCACCCAGCCTCTAGAAAATGGGTACCAGAGTTGACACTCTGGTGTGAATGGAGGACGTTGCTGTAGCTACAGAGTTACGTGCGGACGGCGACACAGGCGAACAGTTTTTTATCAGCTGTCCTTACTGGTGGCAGAGCATTTATGGTTTATAATCGTGTGCAGTGATGCTGGTTCATATCTCCCAACTTTACCTTTTCACATTGTTTTGAATGGAATTCAGATTTTAGTGATGGTAATTAAATAATTAAAATGGGGGGGGGGGGGGTGGGGGGGTGATAGGGAAAAATTTATGACCGGATTTCATCTGACCTTGCAGTGCCAGTAGTGTTGATGGGAAAGTTTCGGTAATGGGTACCACCTGACCATGCAATGCCACTGGTTGTGATGGTAAATTTTCTGAACTGCATGGTCTTGCTATGTCAGCGGGGGTTGATAGGGACCAGGTACTTCCTGAGCTTGCAATGTCACTGGGGGTAATAGGGAAATTTTCTGCACTGGGTACCACACAATCTTGCAATGCTATTGCATGTATGTCTAGCAGAAAAGTTTATGTTCAAAGTCTGTGTGGCAACAGATAAAATCTGTTCATTATTTCAGTTTACAGTTTCTCAGACTGCACTTGGTAAATTATATTCAGATTATGTTAGCTTGTACATTGTGTGACTGCTAAATATTTAGACTGACGCTGATGTCAAGTTTGCAACTGCCTAGAATAACTATCATAGAAGATAAAAATTGTTCCAATGAAATGCCTCACCACATGTTTTTCTCTATACCTTACAACATTTTAATATTTATTGATACATTAATTTCTCCTGCTGATTGTTGCAGCATGTAATAATAACAGCTTTCTTTGTTTTGTCTATTCAAGATTATTTACTGTTAAAATAAAAATAGTAAATCTTGTAATAATAATTGGTAGACAATTCTAAAATACTTACATTTGTATGTTTGAAATTCCTTTACCTTTGCTGACACTTGTTTCTGTATGTACCACTTGGTGTAGACACCTTTGAATCTACCTTTGCTATCAAGTTAATATTAATTCTGCTTGAGTTGCTTTGTACATTGTAAATATTGTATTCATATGTGTACAGTTATTGTAAGTGGCTGGGAGCATGTCTCGTCACAATCCTAAAATCTTTTAATATTTTTCCCCTAACAAGTGTGCTTGCTTTCTCAGTTCATATACAGTTCTAACAGTCTAGGGGCCAGTTCGGAAGTTTACCTATTCATTTTGTTTTTAAAAATGTTTTCCTTAGGATACAAAATTGATTGAATACCTCTCTGGCATTATGTAATTCTACAGGATGTGATAGAAGCCATTGCCCAGAGTGCCTTTAAGACCTCAGATTATCCTGTTATTTTGTCATTTGAAAATCACTGCAGGTGGGTGCAGCTGGCTGCTGTAAAGTAATTATTATTCTTAACAAATTCACAGTTTTTTTTAAAATAGTTTTCTCAATATCATGTGAAAATTCCATTATTCGTGGACTACAAAACTGCCTCAGTGTGTGCATGCACACATGCCTGTGCATGTGTGAACATGTTTGTGCTCACATGTGTATGTCAACCAACACAGTGAAGAATCTCCAATCATCACCCCCTCCCCTCTCCATCCTGGATTCATCAAACATCACTGTCACCATGAAACCTCAGATCAAAGCTTTGGATATTTATTCTGTTAACATTTTGAGTTAGATCTTATTCCAGAATGGTTACATACAATAATGAATGGATATTTTATATAAAAATTGGCCAAGAGCAAAGAGCCATATTCTTCTTTAGCACATCATCTGCTAGACTTCATAAACATTATTCATATGCATTTCCTTTCCGGATAATTTAGTACACACATTATGGACATTTTGTAATCAATTGTAAATGTGCAGTCCCATGTTTTAACATAACATCATAAAACATAACCCTTGACCGGTTAGGGTTGTAGAGGTGTATAGATGGAAGGACTAGTATATAACTCCTAAAATCTTTCTCTGTCTTCCGCTTGATGATCTTGCTGATTATCCATCATACATTTCAATAAGCAAAGGGTTTGCTTGGTGGTGCTTATCTCCTCTCTAAGTATCCAAATCTGTTTCTACATTTTCCTAGCATGTTATGCAATGGAAAAGATCATGTGGTTAGAAACTCCTGTGCTGCGAGATTCATAGAAACATTAGTCGATGTGATTTGTTTATTTCAGTTAAAATAATTTATTTTTATGTTTAATTTTGTGTTGATTTTCCCATGAGGCTTCTGGTTGAGGGGTGGATAGAATTACTAGCACCTGAAAAAACTTGTCAAACAAATTAGGAGTTTGCTGCAAATATTGCATCCTGGCTGAACAACCAAAAACAATAATGGGCTTACTTCCCCATTTATTTTTATTGAAAAACAAAAAAAGAAGAAGCTAAGTTGTTTAAAATGCTTCTATGCATGCCTGAGAAGATAACAACCAAATAAAGCATTTAATAAATTGTGCAATGTCCTCGTTAATTTCACAATGGGAAAGCAATGTTTTGAATTTGATAATTGTTATCCTCAGTCCCAAGCAACAAGCAAAGATGGCAAATTATTGTCGTACTATATTTGGAGACTTGCTGCTCATAAATCCATTAGATTCAAATCCTGTAAGTTTTCATTTTGTTTCTGTTAATGATTTGGATTCCATTATCTCCATTACAGAAGAAAAAGGGCCATTATGATCAATGTTATTTTATTTTATCAATGATACATTTTTCTATTTATTAATTTTGGAAAAAACAAACAAAGGACAGTCAAAGTGAGGTCATAATTTAATGAGTATAGGTGCGTGCATCTGTAGGGGCACATTGCTGAAATGTGTCCAAGAACATTAGTATTTGAAACCATAGGGCATAACAACAATTCTAAGTCTTGATTTTATGTAATAGGTCTGTCTTTACCTTATGAGGTACATTGGATATACAGTGCTAACATTACAATTATAGACCAAGCCAGCAGAGATATGTTCAATAGATGCCAGTGATCTTTACTTTTCCAATAAACTTTCCTCTACCCTAGGTTCAAGAGTCCTTGAAAATGATGGAACTTATCATGAGCTTGCCCATATGCCCCCTCTCCCCACATCCCCCATTCATGCTGCAGCAGGTTGCATGGCTGTCCTATATTGTGGGGGTGTTTTAAGATGGCTTCGTTCGGCCCTTATTCACCATATATAATGTTTGTTTGAGGTTGCATTGTTGTCTCTTTGAGGCACGTCATATGCCTGAGTACAAGTAAGAAGCACTGCAAGGGAAAAACACCGAAGGTGCGACTGTTCATGAGTAGGTAAACTGAGATGTTTTTTATTTTTACAATCCTTGGTGGTCGCTCCTCCCTCCCCCCCCCCCCCCCCCCCGCATGCCCCGCAGAAAAAGAAAAGGAGCCACTGACAAGGAGCGTTGAAATACAATAACATCCCAGTTTTGGTACTCCCAGTTTGGGTACTCCCAGTTTGGGTACTCCCAGTTTTGGTACTCCCAGTTTGGGTACTCCCAGTTTTGGTACTCCCAGTTTGGGTACTCCCAGTTTGGGTACTCCCAGTTTTGGTACTCCCAGTTTGGGTACTCCCAGTTTGGGTACTCCCAGTTTGGGTATTCCCAGTTTTGGTACTCCCAGTTTTGGTACTCCCAGTTTGGGTACTCCCAGTTTGGGTATTCCCAGTTTGGGTACTCCCAGTTTTGGTACTCCCAGTTTTGGTACTCCCAGTTTTGGTACTCCCAGTTTGGGTACTCCCAGTTTTGGTACTCCCAGTTTGGGTACTCCCAGTTTGGGTACTCCCAGTTTTGGTACTCCCAGTTTGGGTACTCCCAGTTTTGGTACTCCCAGTTTGGGTACTCCCAGTTTTGGTACTCCCAGTTTTGGTACTCCCAGTTTGGGTACTCCCAGTTTTGGTACTCCCAGTTTTGGTACTCCCAGTTTGGGTACTCCCAGTTTTGGTACTCCCAGTTTGGGTACTCCCAGTTTGGGTACTCCCAGTTTGGGTACTCCCAGTTTGGGTACTCCCAGTTTTGGTACTCCCAGTTTTGGTACTCCCAGTTTGGGTACTCCCAGTTTGGGTACTCCCAGTTTGGGTACTCCCAGTTTGGGTACTCCCAGTTTTGGTACTCCCAGTTTGGGTACTCCCAGTTTTGGTACTCCCAGTTTTGGTACTCCCAGTTTGGGTACTCCCAGTTTTGGTACTCCCAGTTTGGGTACTCCCAGTTTTGGTACTCCCAGTTTGGGTACTCCCAGTTTGGGTACTCCCAGTTTGGGTACTCCCAGTTTGGGTACTCCCGGAAGCCAAAAATCATTTTTGAAAAAAGTCTGGCTCTGTCAGGACCCGAACACACAAAACTGTGTTGCGCAGTCAAGCGTCTAGCCACTACACCTTGTTGCGCAGTCAAGCGTCTAGCCACTACACCTTGTTGCGCAGTCAAGCGTCTAGCCACTACACCTTGTTGCGCAGTCAAGCGTCTAGCCACTACACCTTGTTGCGCAGTCAAGCGTCTAGCCACTACACCTTGTTGCGCAGTCAAGCGTCTAGCCACTACACCTTGTTGCGCAGTCAAGCGTCTAGCCACTACACCTTGTTGCGCAGTCAAGCGTCTAGCCACTACACCTTGTTGCGCAGTCAAGCGTCTAGCCACTACACCTTGTTGCGCAGTCAAGCGTCTTGCCACTACACCTTGTTGCGCAGTCAAGCGTCTAGCCACTACACCTTGTTGCGCAGTCAAGCGTCTAGCCACTACACCTTGTTGGCTCTCCCACATAGTATATGGCAGACATCAATTATGAGAAGAAAATAAATGGTACATGGTAGACATGTATCATAGAGATAAATTATATCTGATAAAAAACAAAAGTTTAAATAAAAAAACTAAGATGATATTTTCTAATATAAATAATATATGATAGATGTACATTATTTCTGGTACGTATAATTGAAACATTTTAGATCGACAAGATACATGATAGACATAAATGATACATGGTAGGCATCATGGGTGGAGGACATATATACATGATATTTTGTAGGCACATAAGACCTATTGTGGGCATAAATAATAAACAGATGCATGATTTATATATTGCAGATATTTGTCATGAAATAGTGTATCCAAGCAAACATATTAATTAGTTATATGATTCTATGTATATCTATCTCTTAAATAATAGCTGAAACAGGATGTCCCTCTACCGAGCCCGACTCAGTTGAAACGCAAAATTATAATTAAGAACAAGAAGAAACATTTCCACAGAGGTATTGTAATATTTATGTGTTTTGCTCTAATTTGTTACATCATTTGTCCTCTTAAGGTCTGAGTACTTCAGGATGACCTTAGCTTGTAGAATGTCCTCAGTGATACAGTGAATAAAATGCAGAATGATGATAATCCCATCATTACAAATTCTGAATGTTCCCGTATTTCATGAGATACTTGTTTAGAAACATTCAGTGTGCAATTAGAATGGGAGAGAAGTTCCACATTAGATCTGGAAGGAGACCACTAGTGTTCATCACATACATCAACCTAATTTGCAATTCAGCCAACTCCAACAAAGTGGACAACACTGGAGAATTACTGAGTGAACTGCATTTCATCATTGACCAGGCAATCATAGCACCAACAGCAGTACAAGTACAGAAACATATTAATAAAATCTACTCAGCATGTGTCAACAATAATAGGATGATCAATGCAGACAAAATAGAAATGATGACATTCTTTAGCGAAGGGAGAACCACCAACATCAGTATTGACAAAAATCAGTTAAAACAGGTCTAAAAGAGCACTGCCCATCACAATATTCTTTTCAGTGCTTTGCTATCAGTGTTAAACATGGACATTGTCTTCAGAAGACTGAAGAAGAAAAGCCTGTGTCATGCTATATAATGTAACAAGGAAAGGTCGACTTCGGAACAATGATATCAGTAACAGACCAGAAGCTGTCTAAGCGGAAGATGGACCGCAGAAATGACAAAGGCACCAAAAAGTACTATATACGAAGAGAACAGAAGAGGGCCAATTCCAGAGATCACTAGCTGCCCTGAGGCTGCGAAGCATTCTGGGAGTAGAGAAAAGAAGAAGAAGAAGCAAAAGAATTTTTAGAGCATTATGCTAGGTACATGGCAAATAATTAAGGCTAGATTTATTAGACAATGTCTTTATAGACAACTTCAATCATCTATTCATTCATTCTCTTAGTAATTATTAAGTGTTTTGTAGTATAATTAATAAAATAATATTGTTGGTCATGCTCAACTATATAACACAATTGACTATGCTCTGCTAAGTAATGTGGAAATAAGGATTCACAAGAGCATGACACAAAATCTATATTATAAATATAAATTCAATGGAAGTCATTTTAATTTTCTTATTCTGAATGGTGCAATTCATTGTAATTGGTTTCTTTTTCTTCTTATTTCTAACGTTCACTGGCTGTAATCTCCAGCAGAAAGTTCTGGTTGTTTATCCACTTTTTGACCTTGGTTTTCTTTCAGAAACTTAAGTTGTTTTGCATGCATATCCATTTTTTACAGAGCTGGCTTATTTGTATGCAGACTGGCGTTCTTGGCCTCTCAAGCAGATGCAGTCTGACCTGAAAGAAAACGCTTATAATTAATTGGTCGCATTTATGTCATACCTTTTGGAAAAGTTGGAAAGGGGGGGGGGGGGGGCAGTGAGTTTGTTCTTTTTGTCCTCCAAAAATAGGACCCTGGAACCCACACATAGCTATTGGTTTCAGACCACACATTCACATTTGTTTTGTGTTAACTGGTAATTTATACAAGTGAAATGATTCAATCCAGAAGTCAATGTAATCTCAATGGTATAACATATCAAACATATTAGAATACTTTGCTTTTTTTTTAATAGTCAGTGTGAATTTGTTTCATCACCTAGAATATAGAAAACATTTGCTATTTTAATGACAATGTGACAAAGTTTGACATTGGAGCTGTTTGCCAAACCCTTGTAGTAATGTTAAAAGGTTGGCAGATAGAAGTAGGTATTTATAACCAGGGACCTTGAGGAAAGCAAAGAATAGTAATACTAATTTAGCATTCTTGTTGTAAGAAAAGATGCAATGCAAGGGGCTCCCTCCCTCCCTAGTAATCTTGAGCTGCAAAATCCAACCAGACTATGACAACTACAAGTGGTCTAAGTATAAAGGTGAACAAAGCAGCAGCATGACTGGAGACACAGACCTTTACCTATGCATGCTTTCTCAGTGACTCAATGAGTATGCTCAGGAAGATAGAGATAGGTTGAGTCCGAAGACAGTGGTTGAAGTCTCTGAGGTAGTCGAGTGACACATATCAGTTTCATATTTGTACCAGAACACACAGGCCTACAAGGAAATGATAGGCTTGCAGGTAAAGCTGCTGTGGAGGGCATATGTGCCATTGATCAGGCTGATACACTGAATGCTTTACAAGAAGTAAGCTGTTTATGAGAACCAAGTGTTGACAGTGAATCTTACGACGAATCTTTGGACTTATCAAAGATGCAAACAGCAAGGAATGGAGAGTGAGAAGCAATAACGAAATTCATAATCTGTTTAAATCACCACTGATTACTGGCATCATGAGAGCTAATACTGAAATGATTGGGGCATACTGAAAGAATGTCAGATGACAGAGAAGTAAAAACTGTATACATAAGGGAGATGAATGGTCATAGACCATGAGGCAGACCAAGAAAAACATGGAGAGATAATGTCCAGGCAGACCTGCAAACACTTGGTGTCACCAATGGGAAAGAGAATGCCAGAATGCCAACCTGAGAGATGTATGGAGGTGGGTGATATCTTCAGCAATGAACCTCAGGGGCTCAGAAAGCTGAAAAAGAAGAAGATACATTAGTATTGCTGGAAGCAAACTGATTAAGGATGTGTTAAGAGAAAGTGGTTTAACAGTTGTATCTGATACATAGATAATTACAAATGATGAAAATAATATACATGAATCATTAGTAGATGTGAGATTTAGTACAAAAAATTTCCTATCAACATCTTTATTTCTGCAAAATTTGTTTCACCTAACTACATTCATTGTTTGAATGAAGTTAGTACAGGTATTTTTTGCTTTAAATTTATTTATGTTTAAGAAATACATTCTTTATCTTAGCTGTTAATTTTGCCTAATATAAATTAACATGTTAGGCAACTGTTATCAGCTGTGTTTAAAAAAAAATCTATTAACATCATGTCAGTTTCTTTCTTTTACAATTTGATACTTGTACATTAAAAGTAACAACTAAAATAACAATCGTGCTCATGTCTTTGTCATTGTGTTATCAAAATTGTATTTTCTCTCGAATGTTAAGCCCAGAACATGTCCAAAAGAGTGCGCTCAAGGCCCCCAGCTGCAGTGATTAATGCAGAAGGGTTGGCTAAGACAAAGCTCGATGAGGTGGATGAGAATGTAGAAATGTCCTTTACGCCAGCAGACACAGAGCAGTCGGACAATCCTAATAATGCTCCTAGTCCAGCACCTGCTCCTACACCTGAACCTGAACAAAAATCTCCCAATAAAACTGTATTAGACAGAAACGTTTCAATTAACAGGTAAAACTGTGTGTGCTGTGTCGTCAATTTCCTATTTTCTTTGTCCTGAAAAAAATACTTCGACAGGAATAATACCTGTTTTAAAAATAAATGCATTTCAAAAATGAAGAAACAAAAGTTTTTTTTTTTTATTCCAATAAAAGTGTAAACATAAAAGGAAAATTTCTAATAATTTCATTTGAATAGATAAACAAAAGTTCAGAACCATAAAATAATAAATCCTATATATATATACATATACTCAACTGTATCAAAATCTGGCAAACTGTCATACCAGAATTTGCCAGTGGTAACACATTTAATAAGCTAACTAATCCATCTTGGCAGACTGAGTTGATGAATGATGTTAAGAAAAAAAAAAAAAAAAGGTTTGAGTGTCGACACCCCTCAGTGCCATACAAAAGACTGTCAAGAATCTTTTCATGCTGTCTTCCTCTGTCTCTTTTTCCACAAATCTTTCCTGTGGTCACAACATGTTCCATTTTCCCTCTTCTCATAACATGACCAAAAAATGATGACTGTCCTTTCTAATGTTTGTGATAAGTTGTCTTTGAGCATTCGCCTCTTTCAAAACATTTGGATTGCTCTTCTTAGCTGTCCAAGGAATTCTAAGAATTTTTCTGTAAAACTACATGTCCGTGGCCTCAAGATATTGTTTATTAATTGTCAAGGCTTCACAGCCGCATTTTAAAACTGGCTCTATATAGCATGCGAGAATTCTTTTCCTAACCTCCAATGACATGGATTTATTTGCAAAAAATATTCTTCACTATGTAAAATGCAGTTTTGGCCTATCCTATTCTATTCTTTATCTCTGTGATACATCTCCCATTGGATGTTATCCACGTGCTTAGAAGAATACTTAAATTGTTGTACTTGTCCTTAAATATTGTCTTTGACTTTTATTATACATTTAGGCACTATTCTTGTCTTGGAAATCATCATTACTTCTCTCTTTCTATTATTCAAACTGAGGCACATTTTATCACTTTCTACAACCACTGCATCTATCAATTTCTGTATTATGAAATTTAGGAACATGAGAAAATATAGAAAATTTTAATTTAGGAATATGAGGATGTGGAAATACAGACTACAACTGTGCATTTATTTTCTTTATATTGACATGACACAGTTTTTTATTTTAGGAGCCATTTATTTCAAAATATAAATAAAGTTTGTGAAAAAGTAGAACTTTGTGCATTCAAAATGATAAATGTTTTAACGGGAAAGATTTATGAGTACTTAGTACTTTTTTTCTTCAAAATAAAGACTGACTTTTGCAATTCATATGCTTGACCTGATTTCTGGCATTTATTGGCAGTGAAGGAACTGACACAACTGAATCTACCAAAGAGGGAGATGATGGATATGACAGTGATTCTGACTCCACTGACAGTGATGATGATGATGATACAGTTACTTCAGAGGAAGGGCGGGAAAAAACAACCAAGAAGAAGCAAAAGAAAATTTTAACAGAGGAGGAGAAAAAGCGGATTCAACGAATGAAGAAAGAAAAGGTAATTTTTGTGTGGATTATATCAGAAATAGATAACACAAATAATTAGCCTACAGATTTGAGGTAAATAAATAGTTTAATAGACTGATAAAACTCATGTCTACTGCACAGAAATATTAATTTCAACTCTCTGCCTCCGCAACATTTCTTTTTAAAAGAAGCAGATCAGAAGCCATAATTAAATACCTGCGTTTTAGGTAAGAAAACTGATTGTCAGTTGTACCTGAATTCATTATTTTCCCAGTGAAAAAAAGGCTTCCAAACTTTCTCCCTGCTGACATTCACAGTTTGCTTGCTTTTTCTTCTGTGGTTCTTCTGCTAAAATTCTACTCAATGGTTTGGTGTTGTTTCTTGTCAGCTGATGTTAATAGGTTGGCTTGCCAAGAATCCCTAAACACACTGGGATGATTATACATTAAGTTATTTATCTGTCTCTGTGATATACACACACAAGGTAGTGGCATAATGTTTAATGATAAATTTTTGAATTAAGAATTGATATCACAGCACTCTGGGCACTCCCATAAGTGCTCCGTCCCGCATTTTCAGCAGCAATCCACGAGTTCCAATTTTGATGGCACCAGTAACTGTCTGATTGTATTTGCACAAGCCACCGCTTGAGCTCTTCATTGACAAGCTACCTATTGTTAATGTAGTTGAACACGAAACATTAGGTGTTTTAATTGACAGCCATCTTACTTGGAGTTCCCATGTTCATACCATGACCAAAAAAGTAGCAAAAAAAGTAAATCAACTTGGAAAAATTCAGCACTGTCTGGACGAAAATACATGTAAAATATTTTACGTATCCTACATTCAAACGCATATTGACTATTGTTCCACAATTTGGGATGGCTGCTCCAAATCTAATGTCAAACGTCTGAGTTCTCTACAAAATAGGGCCATACGCCTAGTTTCTGATAGAAACTACGTTGAGAAAAATCTTTTATACGGACATCTAAGACTTCTACCATTTAGTAAACGTTAAATTTTTAATAAGGCCAAATTAATTCACAAAATTCTATCTAAAAGATACTCCAAATTACATCGACCGATTGATTGAATCTAATCCTAAGAATAGCAAGCGACTAAGTTTATTAGATTTGCCTAAACCCAGAATTGATTTACTTAAAACAAGTTTAGCATATTCTGCTGCCCATTTATGGAACCATCTTCCACTGGATCTGAAAACTACAAAGAGTCCCTACTCATTTAACCGCAAACCCTTTCATTTCATGATTACCAGTGATTATATGCCACCTTAAATGTAGTTAATAATCCACAATGCATTACTAGTTTATAATTAATTACAGTATGTATGATATGTATGTATGCGTATATGTGTGACATGCATGCGTGTGTAGGCGTGTTTGTGTATGTATGATTTTATGTATGTATGAGTGTATGTATGGGTGTATATATGGGTAGCTGTATAAATTTGTTGTATGTCTTGTGGGTCTGTGTGTGTTTAAGTGTATGTCTCTGTGTGTGGGCGTGTGTCTGTGTGTCAGTCTGTATGGTGTCTGTGTTGGTTCGTCTATATGAGCGTTTTTATGTGCAAATGTATGTGTGTCTGTAAGCGTGTCTGTGTGAGTGTCAGTGTGCGTGTCAGTCTGTGTTGTGTATCTGTATGTGTGGCTGCGTGTGTTTCTGTGGGTGTGTGTCTGTGTGTATGTTTGTATGTGTATATGTGTGGATGTGGCTGCGTGTTTGTCTCTGTGTGTGTGTCTGTCTGTTTGTGTGTGTCTATGTTGTGTCTGTAGGTGTTTCTGCGTGTGTGTCTGTGTGTCTATGCCTGCGTGTGTCTGTGGCTGTGCGTTTCTGTGTGTTGCTTTGTGTGTACTTGTGTGTTCGTCTTTTTGATAATGTGTGCGTGTGTCTCTGTGTGTGTGCGTCTGCGTGTGTGTGTCTGTGTGAGTACTTGTGTGTTGGTTGGTGTGTTAGTATGCGTGTGTATGTCTCTGTGTGTGTCAGTGTGTGTGTGCGTGTGCCATTATGTGTCTGTAGGTGTGTCTGTGTGTGTGGCTGCATGTGTATCTGTGTCTGTCTGTAGCTGCACGCGTCTGTGTGTGTGGCTCTGTGTGTGTCTGTGTGAGTCTCTATGGGTGTGTCTATTATATAATGTCTGCGTGTGTCTGTGTGTGTGTGGCTTCGTGGGTATCTGTGTGTGTGTCTTTTTGAGAATGTGTGTGTGTCTGTGTGAGTGTCTGTGCATCTGTGAGTGTATTTATATGTATGTGTGGTGTGCCATTATGTGTGTGTGTGTATCTGTGGCTGTGAGTGACTGTGTGTGTGGCTTTCTGTATATCTGTGTGTGTCTCTATCGGTGTATCTATTATACGATGTCTGCGTGTCTCCGTCTTGGTTTATGCGTCTGCCTGTACGTCTGTGTGCGTATGTGTGCGTGATTGACTGTATGCATGCCTGTGTGTGTATCTGTGTGTTTCCTTGCTTACGTGTGTGTATGTGTTTGTTTGTGTGACTGTGACTGCATGCGTGTTTGTCTGTGTGTGTTTATGTCTGTGTGCGTCTGTGTGTGTGTGTTTGTATGGGTCTTTTTGTGCGACTACGTGTATGTATGTATGTGTGTGTGTCTGTGTGGGTTTTTGTCTGTGTGCGTCGGACATTGTATGTGTTTGTATAGGTCTTTTTGTGCGGCTACATGTGCGAATGTATGTGTGTTTGTGTGTGTGTGTAGCTGTGTGTGTCTATATGAGTCTGAGTTGTATGCGTGTGTGTTTTAGAGCACATGTCTGTGTGGGTGACAGTGTGTATGAGTGTATGTATGTATGTATGTATGTATGTATGTATGTATGTATGTATGTATGTATGTATGTATGTATGTATGTATGTATGTATGTATGTATGTATGTATGTATGTATGTATGTATGTATGTATGTATGTATGTATGTGTGTGTGTGTGTGTGTGTGCGTGCGTGCGTGCGTGCATGCGTGCGAGCAAGCATGCGTGCGTGCGTGCGTGCATGCGTGTGTGCATGCGTGGGTGGGTGGGTGGGTGGGTGCGTGCGTGCGTGTTCGTAAGTATGTGGATGTTTGTGTGTGTGTATTGGGTGCCTATGTGTGTGTATGTGTGAGTGAATGGGTTTGCGTGTGTGTGTGTGTGTGTGTGTGTGTGAGTGAATGGGTTTGCGTGTGTATGTGTGTTCGCGCGCAAGCGTGCGCACATATTTTACCACCCATGCTTTTGTTTTTGACTTGATATTCGCAGTATGCATATTATTACATGAACATAACATGCTTTATTGAAAAACTACAAAGGGCCCTCACAATATCTAGCTTGTCATACATCAATTCACCACCAAGTGGTGCAGAACTGGCCAGTCTATCTGCTCATTTCCCACCACACCAGCATAACGTGGAGAAAATATCCAAAGGATGCTAACTACCTGCGATCTCTGAACTGATGTTTGCCACTCTGCAGGGAGCAAGCCTGTCTTAACCTTTCTCAACATGCTCTGTGAGTCTGTTAAATCACGGAATGTGTGTGGAGCTGATTCTCAAGCCAGCGGAAGGCAGCAGAGACTTTCTCCACCTCCACCTCATGGCATAATGAAATAGGCAAACCAGCTCCTCACTTTGCTGCATTTTCTTCCCAAGTAATTTTCATGGATTTGTTTAAAGTTGCCAAATACAGCAATAAAGAAAATGATTATTGCAGACTTGACAGGACTATACAGTCTCCATATACATTCACCAAATGTTTTTACTGAGTCCTCTGTTATATTCTGTTCTGTCACTACAGGGTACAGCAGGGAAAGAAGCCTCAGCAGCCATGGAAATGTCATTGTTGGTGAACTACATACAGCCTGTTCATTTTCATTCCTTTGATGCTTCAGAAAGTGAGCATAATTTAAATTAACATAACTGTGAGAAAGCATCAAATGATTACATTTTTAAATTTTAATTTCAAGTTATCATTGGGCAGGATGCTGGTTGCAGAAAATAGCTCTCATCACAGCTACCTAACTTATTTTTGATCCCTCTTTTTATGACATTTTTTTGTGTGCTTTAGAAAGTGAACATGTTAATAACTGTCTAAACTTTAATAGAAAAGAAGTGAACTGTACCTTTAAGGAGAAATAAATAAAAAAATCATATTGAATAAGACATTCTTTATGCTTACACAAATATCTTTGAATAACCTTTCCATTAAGAGTCAAATGTTTCTTTGCAGAACGCAGAAGAAGCTATGAAATAACATCCTTTGTGGAAACTCAGGGTACTTCTTTATTGAAAGAATTTCCAGTGGATTTTGTCAAGTATCCTTTCTCTTCACACGATGTTTACCTACTAAGTTTTTTTATAATGATATGTCATGTTTCAAATTGTGTGTGTGTGTGTGTGTGTGTGTGCACGCCTGCCTGCCTGCCTGTGTGTCTCTTTGTGTCTGTGTGTGTGTGTCTCTGTCTTTCTGTCTGTCTGTCTGTCTGTCTGTCTGTCTGTCTGTCTGTCTGTCTGTCTGTCTGTCTGTCTGTCTGTCTGTCTGTCTGTCTGTCTGTCTGTCTGTCTGTCTGTCTGTCTGTCTGTCTGTCTGTCTGTCTGTCTCTCTCTCTCTCTCTCTCTCTCTCTCTCTCTCTCTCTCTCTCTCTCTCTCTCTCTCTCTCTCTCTCTCTCTCTCTCTCTCTCTCTCTTTATTAACACATAGTCAAATGACTTACTACTTGCATCAGCCCAGCATAAACAGTTTTTCAACACTATCCTGTCACTAACTAATGTCCCACTGTGGTAATTTGTTCAAGTCTGCTTATAAGTTTCTGTGTCCTCCAGGCAGAGGTCATAACCTCTCTTGGGATTGGCCAAAGTGGGTTGATCTCCATATTTTTAGTTTCCCGCTCATTCTATAGACTGAATGCTTTAGAAAAAGAAAAACAATTCAAAGGTTGCCAAGTTAATAGATACATTAACTATGTATTAAAGCTATGCCACCTACCTAATTTCTGTTTTGAACAAAAATACATTACCGTTGTTTGCATAAAACATGAAATTTAGGTTTACATTGAATTCACAGACATGGAAATTGAAGAGAATGCAGTAACTAGTTGATCTGGCAGCTGAGAGAAGAATGAGAAAGACATTTGAGTTTTTTTTTTTACTGTTTGTAGAGAAGCTTTACATCCATTATATAATAGATGGATCTATCTTTTAACTGTAGAAGTAAACTATCAAACAAGCTGAAGGTTGTCTGAGGACAAATAATGCTTTTCGGGTGCATTCAGACTATGGCATAATGAGTGGTAAGGACGTTTCCATCCTTGATGCTTTTTCTTCCAAGTGAACTTCCAGAAAATTATGGAAATAACCTAGAGGCCAGTTTATGATGCACTTTGATTGGTCAGGGGGAAAAGGTGTCCACCACTGAGGGAAATAACATGGGGCCAATGTGTTGGTATGCAAACACTATTTTGAGAATTCTTAACTAAAGCTAGTTACAACAAACGCCAGATGAGTAGAATTTATCCAAAAGGTACCAGGGTGGACTCCAGTAACTTCATGCCTCAACTATTCTGGAATGCAGGCTGTCAGCTGGTAGCCTTAAACTTTCAGACGCTTGGTAACTTTTTGTTTGTACTTTATTACAATACAGTTTTTCAGCAGGTTTATTTGCCTTGGTGGATTGGGTATCATACAAAGGAAAACAATTTGGGTTAATCATGAAAGAGCTGAATGTACAATAATAAAATATTGTTATGTAAGCTGAATGTCATAGTGACCACTACCTGGTTGGTGCAAAATTAAAAATCAAGCTTAAGAGATCCTTTTACACCAAGTTGCAAAGATCATGTCTAGAGTACAACAGAGAAAGATTACAAGAAACATCTATATTATAGAAATTTGCAGATGCATTAAAACATAAAATTGAAATTTTACAAAATCTGTCGAAGGAAGACGTTGACCAAACCTGGGTGAATATTAAGAATATAATTCAAACCACTGCAGAAGAATGTCTTGGTGTGTTTACCATAAACCGAAAGAACAAATGTATTGATAAAAAATGTGAAGAAGCAGTCAGTAAGAAAAAACATGCGAGGCAGATGTGGCTAAATTACACTCGTAGCATACAAAATGAAGAAAAATTTATAACAGTGTAAAGAAGCTACAAAAGTAGTTAGTTAGGCAGCAGAAAGGAAAATACATGAACAACATTGTTATGGATATGGAATCTAACCATCAGAACAATGAATTGAGAAAGTTTTTTTTTTTTTTAAACAACTGAATATGACTGTAAAACAAGAGAATCAACAAATAATGTATAGTTTAAAAGATCACAATGGCAATATGATACACAAATAATGAAGAAATATGTAACAGATGGAAGGAATACTTTGCTGAACTGTTAAAATGTGAAACTTCACTAAATACTTATCCACAGGAAGAGATACTAACATGTGAACCAAATACTGAAGAGCCAATTTTAGAAGAAGTATTGTATTACATAACAAAGTTTAAAAATAATCAAGCAACTGGTGCTGATGAAATTGCTGCTGAACTTATAAAAGAAGGTGGTCGTGCATTACATTTAAAGATATATGAATTAATAAAACTAGCTTGGAAGATGGAGAAATTACCCCTTGAGTGGAAAGTGTCATTGTTAATACTCATTTTTAAGAAAGGAGACAGGTTTAAATGTGAAAACTATAGAGGAATATCAAAAAGCTATAAGATATTGTCGCCAGTACTGCTACAGGCTAAAACCATAAGTTGAAGACATATTGGGAGATTAGCAGGCAGGTTTCTGACAGAAAAGATCACTAGAAGATCAGACATTTTTTTTACAGCAATTAGCAGAGCAAAAGTGGGAATATAGAAGATATGTACATAATGTTTTTGTGGATTTTAAAAAGGTGTTTGATAGTGTACAAAGAAACAGTTTACGGAATGCTTGCTATAAAGGACTTTGGAAACCAAAGAAGTTAATCAGCATGATCAAAATGTGTATGGAAGACATTTAAAATATTATAACATATAAAGCCAGAAAGTCAGACCCATTTCAAATAACATCTGGTTTAAAGCAAGGTGATGCTCTGTCCCCACTTCTTTTCAACTTGGCCCTTGAGAAAATTATAAGGAAATTGAAACAAGAGTGTACTTTAGAAGAAACTACAAAAATACTTGGATATGCAGATGACATTGAAATCATTTGATAAAATGAACTAGAGACTGTTAAAACACTGATTCTCTTATCAGCTCAGAAAATGGAACTAGTTAGCAATCAAGATAAGACAGAATAATTAATAATAACTAGACAAGGAAAGGATATAAACTACTGCCACATGCAAATCAAAAGATGGAAACATATAAGTACTTGGATGCAAACACCAACATGCTGAGAGAAGAAATACAGTCTAGAATATAATCTGGAAATGAAGTAAACTATGCCCTTCAACATCTGCTAAAAAGTGTCTGTCTTGCAACACCAAGATCAAAATACATAAAATGTTTATAAGACTAATCCTTTTATATGGCTCTGAAACTTGGAGCACAACTAAAAGAGATGAAGCCTCATTACAAATTTTCTAAAACAGAGTATTACAACGAATGTTTGGACCCATCAAAGATGCAAACAGCGAAGAATAGAGTGTGAGAAGCAACAACGAAATTCATAATCTGTTTAAATCACCATTGATCACTGTTTAAATCACCATATTATCACTCAGATAGAATTATTACTTTGAAAATTAAAAGAGGAGAACAAGCTGAAACATATATACAGATATATGCACCATGCAATGATAATTATACAGAAAAGCAGAAAGATGAATTCTTTGACGATCTGTCTGATGAGATAGAGAAAGTTGAGGGAAGCAGCATACTATATGTAATGGGTGACTTCAACGGGAGGGTAGGAAATAACAGAAGAGAATACGAACAGTTTTTAGGTCCACATGCAGCTAAGAACAGTGCTAGAAATGGAAATGGTCAAAGAATATTGGATCTATGCAGCCAGCACAATCTTTTTATTACGAATACATTCTTTGACCATAGAGATTCACAACTTTACACTTGGTACAAATGGAATGATGTCTCCATCAAGAGCCAGATTGACTTTATACTTACCAGAGTTCAAGGAAGAAGGAGAATTCTTGATTCAAGAGCAATCCCTAATGGTCTATGTGACACTGACCATAAAATAGTTGTGTTAACAGCAAAACATCTTCTTTAAAGAAACACAGAATGAAATTAACCAAAAACAAGGATCTCATCAAGATAGCAAATCTGAAACAGGAAGGAGTAAAAGAACAGTTACAACAGAAAGTAGAGACAGCATTCAAACAACTTCCACATGTAGTTGGCAATATTGAGGAAGAATGGAGTAAATATAAAAACACTATGCTTAGTATTGCAGAAGAATTATGTGGAAAACGGAAGAGTGGAAACAGACAGGGAAATAACAAATATTCACCTTGGTGGTGCGAAGAAGTAAAATAAGCAATTAAAAATAAAAAGGACTTATATAAACAGTGGATAAAATCAAAGAAAGAAGAAGATTATATAAACTATAGACTGCAAAGGAGAGAAACCAACAGGAGTGTCAAGAAAGATAAACAAGCATCCTGGGAACGTTTCGGTGAGTCATTAGCAGAAAATGAGAAAACCGCCAGCAGAAAATTTTTTAAAGTAGTTAAAAATATGCGGAAAAGAGATGAGAGCTACAACCCCACTGAAATAATTAATGATAAGACAGAAAGGCCATTGATAGATCCACTCGAGATAGCAGAAAGATGGAGGGAATACTTCAATGAGCTCTTTAATCCTCTAGAAGATCATCAGGAAAGAACAACTGAAGAGCACAGAGCAACAGTGTTAGAACCACACATACTAATGGATGAAATAGAAAAAGTCATTAAGCAGTCTCCCAAATATAAAGAGCACGATCACTGGCATCATTAGATCTGATAGACTGAAACGGTTTAGGCATATTGAGAAAATGTCAAATGACAGAGAGGTAAAAACGGTATACACAAGGGAGCTCAGTGATTGTAGACCATAAGGCAGATCAAAAAAGACAATGGAGAGATAATGTTCAGACAGATCTGCAAACACTTAATGTCACCAACTGGAAAGAGAAAGCCAGCCAGAGAGATGAATGGAGGTGGGTGTTATCTGCAGCAGTGAACCTCAAGGGCTCGGAACGCTGAAGGAGAAGTTTTATTTTAAATAAATTGCAATTGGTTAGAATTGGTTAGTAATTAAGCATGAAATAAATAAAGACTGGGGACTCTCATGTGAAGAAAACTTTACACACACTGGGCCACTGGATCTTTCCTTAGCTCTTCAGCAACTGGGGATGGAAATAAATTTAAAATGTTTTTTTCCCTTGTTCTACATGTAATAAAAGGTACAGTCCTACTCTCACCTCTCATTCTCCCCTTATTCCTCTTCAGAACTGGGATACAAGTGTCTCACATCTTTGTCTTTCAGATCATCTTTCCCTCCTCATGCGGGTTCCACAGCCCAACTGTGAGGGAAAACAGAATAAACTTACTGCTCTTTAACAAGCATATTGTAAATTTTGATTAACCAATAGTCTACTTACAAATGAGCCAAATCTGTAAAATGGATGTGCACACAAATCTAAAGTTCTGGAATGACTTAAGTCCAGAAGTGGATGAACAACCAGAACTTTCTGCCAGAGTTTACTGCAAGGGCTGGCAAAGAAGATCAGCTTTCCCTTTTGCCACATGTTTTTAATGAAATGTACTTTATCTTCTTTCATTCTTGATGATAGAGTTGTAAAGCATATTTCCTCATGTTCTTACCTTTGACACTCATTGATACATTCCTAAGAGCCTGTACACTCTTGCTGATGTGCCAGAGATGTTGGTAGTTCTAGGTATCAGCAGCAGGTGCTCCTGTTTTACAAATGTTGTCTTGGCTTGTTGTAAACACTCCACTCATCACACTTTATACATTTACCAGTCACTGTAAGTAGTAGTCATTGATTTTGTAAAGTATCATACAGAGATACACCTTCTTATACTGGATACTTAATTTTAAAAAAAAAAGTGAAGCTATAGTCAGTTATGTTTTCTCCAATTATGTCTTTCTAGATCTTGCTATGCAGTTTAATCTGGGTATTTTTGAGTACAATGGCCGTACAGGCTATATTCTGAAGCCAGATTTCATGAGACGACGGGACAGGCACTTTGACCCTTTTGCAGAATCCACCGTAGATGGCATAATTGCTGGATCTCTTTCTATAAAAGTAAGTCATGTTATCATATGCCCTTGGGATTTGTTTTAGACAAAACAGACCAATATAAACCACAACACAACTAAAGGACATGAAGCAATTAAACACAATCTAGTTGCACCGTTTTTAGGACTCTTTTAGCACTTGATTTGGAAAGATGCCTAGAGGTCTTCTTTCTGCCTTCTATCTCCCAGTGGAGCATAAAAGCTCACCCAACTCACACAATGTCATTCTATCCTTCCCTATTGCATGCAGCTAACCCAAATTCCTCTCAGTCTTTTTAGCTTCACTCTCTAGCTCCATTCGCCCAGTGTTTTCATTCCCTTTTTTTTATATGTCACTGTGGATTCCTTTGAAAAGACATTCTAGTTGTATTGTTCTCAGGTTTTCTCAACATGTGTTCTATCAAACAACAGTGTCTTGTCTTCACCTCTTCGTCCACTAAAACTTATTTAGTTCTCCTCCAAAGCTCTTCATTAGTTATTCTATCAAACCATTGAATTCCCTCAATTCTGCACAGGCAATAGTTAATGAATGTTTCTAGTGTATTAGTAATTGTTTAAGTTGTTCTCTATATTTCAGCTCCATACAACACTAAGGATTTGACATTAGAATTAAACATTTTAGGTTTAGTAAAAGTTTTTGATTTCTTTTAACTTCACAAATTTTCTAGTGAAATAAAAGTTCCCCCTACCTTTTGCAATCATATTTAAATATTTCTATAATTTCCCCCATCTTTATCAATATTTCTGCTTAAATAAGCTATGACTCTACATCTTTGAGTAGGACACCATTCAGAGAAACCTCTTTACTATTTGCCTGATTTATTCTCATTATCTTTGTTTTTTCCCTTAATGATTTTAGACCTAGTTTTTGTAATCTCGCATCAGGCATATTTAATTTATCTTGCTTCTGATTTTGTGAGCAGGACAGAAAAGAAATAGTATCAGTGAAATCCAGATCCTCAAGCTGTTTTGTAAGGGTCCACTGTATTTCATTTTTGGCATTAGCAGTTGCTGTCTTTATAATCCAGTCTATGGCCAGTTGCAAAAAAGGCGACCCAAAAAAAATCCCTGTTGCACACCTGATGTTATCTCAAAGTATCAGCTCAGAGTAGTTGCAGACACAAATCACCCTTTGCACGAAGCGCTGGAAGCAGGTAAGGGTTGGCAGCTGATATGAGGTAGTCAGGGATGGTTTAGGTGGAGGACAAGACCAGACAGTTTTGCATCCTGGATAACATTGGGGAAGGAGAGGAGTGGGTCAGAGTACCAACGGAACAGTCAGATTTGTGTAGAGTCAGATCACATTGAGCCAGGAGGGCAAGGAGTGACCAGCAGGTGCCACGGAGGTGGAAATTCAGCAATTTATTCAAGATAATGCTCGCTCGCTGGAGTAATGTGATATTTTTACAGATGGTTTGGTGTCAAGAGAAAAAAGAAGTGCCTGGGGGTTCTTGGCAAAATCTAAGGTCAACGTTTGGTGCAGGAGAGCCTTACATATGATACCACAACATTCTGGTTAAGAATGGAATTGGAGGTGGTCACTGCAGCTTTCTGCTGGCAAATGACCATGATAGACACACACACACACACACATCATAATTGCAACTGACCCAGAAAGCTTGCAGAGAAAGGCGGGGATAGATGTGCTTCATGCAGAGGGGCATGCTTCACTTTGAAGGTCAGTGGTGAAGAGCATTGTCTTGATCTTTTCTTCAGGTCATGCCTGTGTAATCGAAAATGAGCAGGTGGACAGACTCTGCACAACTTAGTGGAATATTGATGCAGGATATTGCAGACGTAGTTAAGACCTTATGAGAACACTTGTACAATTTGGAACACAACAATTGAATATCACAATCTGGTGCAGCGGGGAGTATTGAGGAGATCATGGGCCTCATCACAGCACTTCAAGTCTTCATAGCCTTTATAAGTAACATGGTCTCATCACAACACTTCAAGTCTTCATAGCCTTTATAAGTAACCTGGTCTCATCACAACACTTCAAGTCTTCATAGCCTTTATAAGTAACATGGTCTCATCACAACACTTGAAGTCTTCATAGCCTTTATAAGTAACATGGTCTCATCACAACACTTCAAGTCTTCATAGCTTTTATAAGTAACATGCTCTCATCACAACACTTCAAGTCTTCATAGCCTTTATAAGTAGCATGCTCTCATCACAACACTTCAAGTGTCTTTAGATTATTTAAGTAATTTGGTCTCATCACAACACTTCAAGTGTCTATAGATTATTTAAGTAACATGGTCTCATCACAACACTTCAAGTGTCTATAGATTATTTAAGTAACATGGTCTCATCACGACACTTCAAGTGTCTATAGATTATTTAAGTAGCATGGTCTCATCACAACACTTCAAGTGTCTATAGATTATTTAAGTAACATGGTCTCCATGTGTCCAGATACTTAAATTTCTGTACTTGTCCCAAAATAACACCATCGACTTTTATTACACTTTTATGAATAATTCATTTCTTTGATACCACCATTACTTCTGTCTTCCCATTATTCAAACTGAGGCCCATTCTTCCACTTTCTAACACCACAATGTCTATCATTTCCTGTAGTTCTTTCTGACTTGTTGCTATCAAGACTGTGTCATCAGCATAACGTAAATTGTTTATATTGTGCCCACCCAACCACAATTCCGGGCATACCAATTAAAGCTCTTGTTATATATTCACTGTTTAGAGAAAACAAATCAGGTGACAGTACACATCCTTGTCGTACGCCCCTCTTTATGGTTTGAAATGTACCTAAACAGTTGTTAATTCTTTTAGCTGCTGTTTGCTGCCAATACATATTCTTTATTATTCGTAGATCTTTTCCATGAATTAATATTTTTTTAAACACTATGATTACTTCTTCATGCTTCACACAGTCAAATGCTTTAGTATAGTCTATGAAGCATAAGTACAAATCAGTCTTTACTTCTATAGCTCTTTCTGACAATGTCTTTAGTATGTATATGGCATTGTTTGTACCTTTTCCTTCCACAAATCCACATTGTTCATCGCTGATTTCTGGTTTAATTCTGTTTCTTATTCTTCTCATAACTATTCTCAGTAAAATCTTAGTCATGTGACTCATAAGACTTATTGTGCGATGTTCTTCACATTTTAAAGTGCCTGGTTTCTTTGGCAGAGCTATAAATATGGATTTTAGAAGGTCATTTGGAATGTACCCACTATTATAAATATCATTTAAAAGTGTAGTTATTATTTCAATTCCAAAATCTCTCAGTGCTTTGATTTCTTCCAGTGAGATGTTGTCTGGCCGGGTGCTTTTCCTTTCTTCATATGATGTATTGCATCCTCAACGCCTGCAGTCATTATTGGTGGACCATCATTGTTGGTCTGCAATTCTACATCTGGTTTATTATCATCATACAATTCCCCTATATACTCTGTCCATCTGTTAATTATATTACTATGTCCCATTAAAAAGTCACCATCTTTTGAGTTGTTTTTTCTGTTAACATATTTATCTGTTGGTACATGGAATGTGAGTCTTTTCTGTGATTTTCCCCAATCTCTGTACACATTTGATTCAGCCAAGCTTCTTTAGACACTTTGCATTTGTTCACCATTTTTTTTTTGTATTCTAGAGTATTCATCTTTATCATTCTTTTTCTTCCTTCTTTCATCCATCAACTGCAGAATTTCAGTTGATATCCATTTCTTTTTTGCAACTCTATGGGTTGGTGGGATTGTCTCTTTTGCTGTCTGCTGAATTGACTCATGCAACATATCCCACTGTTCATCAATAGTCTGTATAATTTCCATTGCATTATACCGGTTTTGACAGTGACATTGTACTGTACCTTAATTTCTTTATTTTGTTCTAAGAATTCCTAAATTTAACTTGATGTTCTGTGGTGTTTTTATAATGTTCTATAGTTTAATTCTAATTTTTCCTACAACCGGAACATGGTCACTAAAGCAGTATGCCCCTGGTCTAGTTTTTGCTTCAACTAAGCTGTTCCGAAATCTTTTTGAAATCAAAATATAATCAATCTGACTGCGGACATTATCACCAGGACTTTTCCAAGTTCACAATCTTTGAGGATGGTGTTTAAACCAGGTGTTACCTATTATCATGCTGCGCGACTCAGCCCATGCTATTAATCTGTCACCTCTCACATTTTTTCCCGTTATTCTGTACACTTTTTCACTTCCCTTTTTTGCGTTGAAATCTCCAAGTACCATTGTTCCTTCACAATTTTTTCATTGATCAACAGCCATGTCTAACTCGTCATAAAATGCGTCAGTATCTTTCTCTGAACTATCTGCTGTCGGGGCATAAATCTGTACTAAGTTGATGTCAAACGGTCTGCCGCAAAGGTTTACTAATAGTGCTCTATCTGATATTGTACAAAATCCTTTCACAGTTTTTGAGTTTTTTGGATCCAAAATAATACAAACTCCCTTACTATATTCCTTCCCACCCGAGTAAATAATTCTGTGCTGATCTGAATACTTTTCCCCTGCTCCTGGCCATCGCATTTCACTAATTCCTAATATGTTGATGTTTATTCTTTTCATTTCTATATTGATGTTATCCAGCTTTCCATTTTGTACGAGTGTTCTGACATTCCATGTACCAATGTTCAGGATGTTTCTACCATTTACTTTTTCTAGAGTTTATGGCGCCTCTTACCTGCCAATGGCCATGTCGTAGAGTTTTGAGGTATTTTACAAGAGTTAGCTGTCCCACCAACTAACTCGCCTCCTCTCAATGACCATCACCTGTTTTGATCCACGGCCACTTGTTTAGTATATTCATGGCTAACCTCTATATCTAGAGGCCTTTCCACCATCCACCACCTGGTGTATGCGCCTAGTAGTAGGACAGGCTCCTAACTCAGTCAAGTGTCTATAGACTATATAGGTAAAATGGGTCTCATCACAACACTTCAAGTGTCTGTAGGCTATATAAGTAACATGGGTCTCATCACAACACTTCAAGTGTCTGTAGGCTATATA